GATAGATAGATAGATAGATAGATAGATAGATAGATAGATAGATAGATAGATAGATAGATAGATAGATAGATAGATAGATAGATAGATAGATAGCAGCTCAGATCACTTGATGAAAACAAATAAAGCTAATTAAATCAGTCTGACTAAATTTTTTGTTCCCAGTTCATCAAGTTTAAATGAAATAATAGGGCAGCTCCATTTTTATAAATACAGGTTTATGATATGATTTTATTTTGTATTTATTTTGACTTCTTACTAACTTACAGGCAACATATTTATTTCATATTTTTATTTGAGAAGGAATGCATTCATTTATAAAAAAAAAAAATTAATGCTCAATTTAAAAAAGATTAAGTAAAATCGTCTTTAGTTCAGTTATTGTACATTCCACTTTTGGAAAATCATCAACACTTTTGACTGAGAGGGGTACTCATGGTACGAAAAAATGCCCATAAGGGAACACAATTCAAAGAAATTTGGGAAACACTGATCTAGAAAGACCTACTGTAATTTCTAAGGTTGGAATATACAGTAACTTTACCACTGTAATAAATCTGTTGCTTTCTGCATTTGGCTGCATCCTCCTCTAGACAGCGTCTTTCTTTCTTTGTCTCTGTCCCTCGCTGCGCTGCCTATCCTGTTCCTTTTACCACGTTCTAAGACCATGTCCATTGCTTCTTATCCTTACTTGCACCTCTCGCTAACTACAGTATGCACATCACAGCAGCAGACACATGTCACACTCCCCTTCCTCCACACTGTGCTGTCTGTGTCCCTCCTAAAATGCTACTGGCCAAAATGGCCTTATCTGTCCCTCTCTCTGACAGGTGCACCGCTGCTGCCTTAAAAGCTGTCTTAAAAGAAAAGAAGAGAGAGAGATGCAGGCCAGCAGGCCAATCCCAGGCCGGCGCTGCTATGCTGCTACTAGTGACTCTATTAGTTAATTCCAAGAGTACCAACCTGTCAGCCTTTTTGGACTCTGTGCGGATACAGAATTCATGGATGAAAGGCCTGCTAGACAACTGAGGATAACATGCCGGTTTTCCCACAATAGCCTTGGATGACCATCAGATTAATAAGTCTTCTCTCGCCACTAAACCAGTTGAACTTGTGGTATGGGGTAACCATTGTGAAAAAAAGTTTCTAATAAGAATTGAATCATCTCAGGTCCCTATTGGTCTGGGTTGCACCTGATTATGTAGACACAACCTTGAGACTGACATGCAGAATGTAGAGGTGTTAGGTTGGGCTACCTCTTGCTCTGGTTTCTGTTTCCGCTCCACTCAGCCAGAACAGTTGGCTGAGAATGAGGGGGAGGAGGTTTATCTGGACCTGTCGAAGATAGCTGAGGAATATCATAACCTGAAGGAGTTTTTCAATAGGTGTCAGGTCCCTGCACTGCCTTCTCATTGGCAAATGATTGCGGAATTGAGTTAATGTGTGCGGCTACACCCCCGAGAGGGAGATTATACAGCAGGAGCTGGGATTTGATTGTGGGGAAACAGGACAGCTTACTCAGACCCTGCATTGCTTATAGGGCTCTTATTGCTATCCCTTTTAAGAATCATTACCTCGTTCCCCTGATTAACTCTGCTAACTCCTGCAGAATCAGCCATTTGCGAAAGCTGAGAAGTGTGAATTTCATGTGTGGAGTATGTCTTTCTTAGGTTTTGTGGTGTCCCCGGATCATATAGCTATGTATCTAACTAAGGTGAGCGCAGTTATTGACTGACCGGTTCCTAAGGACAGAAAGCAGTTGCAGAGGTTCTTAGGGTTTGCAAACTTCTACCTTAAACCTGTTGTGATTCAATGGGCCCAGCAATCAGGGACGCCATAGAAATGTTGTGATTTTATGTTCTTTTCTATTCCCAGCCCGCTAGGAATTTATGTTTCTGATACTTGAAGATGTTTATTGCCCTACCC